GTTATTGCATATTTTTTGAAAGAAATAGGATTGTTGGTTGATTGAAATACAGGATGAAAAACAGCAGGAACTAATACAAAGGGATTCAAAATAACGTAAAGGTATTAAATTTAGTACAAAGGTATTCAGTATTCAATATGTATCCTATATTCATAATGACTATGGCTAGAGTGAATAATGCAAGAAATATCCTGCAACAGGTTGAAATACGTGTAACTTCTAAACTATAAGAGATAAAGGTATGGTTGTAGTGAGTGACTAGGGGTTATTTTACCTGAGGAATCCATTTTTGATTTCATTTTTACCATATATTGAATGAATAAAGAGATAATAAGACATTTTTATATTTTCTGCATAGAAACACGGAAACAAAAACCAACAACCAGTACCAGCATTCAATTACAGAAGTCACTGGCACTGGAAGTTGTTGATGCAATACAAACCTCCAAAAACATCTCCCAAGAACACATCACACATGACCACCAAGACCACCCAAGCCAACTGGAGATCCGCAAAACATACGATTATTCAACCAATCAGCAAGAAACCTTTGAAGGTCAAGAGACTGCTTATGATCAGCCAGCCGAACCTCAAGTTGACAACCTGCTAGTGCTAGCATACCTCCAGACCGAGGATTATAAAATGAAGAAACTTTTGGAGGAGAGACATTGGCACGGGGTTTTTGATGACATGTTCTCTTGTTTTTATCAATGTGCAGCTCAGATAAAGATGGACATTGGTACCCAGCACCCGTTTGCCTGGTACCGCCCGTAGAGATGGTCTCCGGGTATCCGTTGCGGATACCCATTATCTGCTGGCAGATACCCGCCCGCTGTAGCAGATACCCGCCAGCGGATGCGGGTTCGGGTGCGGATGTGCCCTTTCTGCTGATTTTCCAGCGGATACCCGGGTATCTCAATGGATACCCAAGGCCAATGGCCGGCTGGAAGGAAAGCCTTCCAGCCAGCAAGCATGTACCTCTTGCCAACTGGAAGGGTTTCCTTCCAGTTGACGAGGTAAATGCTCGCCGGCCGGAGGGCTTTCCTTCCAGTCGGTGAGAGGTACATGCTTGCCGGCTGGAAGGCTTTCCTTCCAGTCGGCAAGGTACATGTACCTTGCCGACTGGAAGGATTTCCTTCCAGCCGGCAAGAGGTACATGCACCTCTCTGGCACATGTACCTTGCCACTGCCGACTGGAAGGGTTTCTTCCAGCCAGCAAGGTACATGTACCTTGCCGACTGGAAGGAACCCCTTCCAGCCGGCTCCTCACTGAATTTTTACAGGGCGGGTATCCGAGGATACCCGCGCAGATACCCGCTGGCGGCTGCGGATGCGGGTTCGGATGCCCATTTCCCTGGAAAAAGCAGCCGGATATCCGCATCCGTGCGGATATCTGGATGTACCGGGGCCATCTCTAACCGCCCGGACCCGCCTGGCACCTGCCAGGGGGTGCCAGGTGAGGTACCTGGTGTCCATTTCTGAGCAAAACAAAGGTGGTACCAGGGTACCGCTAGAGGTACCCTCTTTACTGCGCAGTCACTAAGTAGGGTGATGGCCGTTGCCTTCTACTCAAAAAATGGGATGATAAAGGAAGGGGTGTTGGCCAAGTGGAAAGATGGTATTCAGACTGCTAAGAAGGGTAAATCAGACGGGAAAGGTAAAATAAAGGTGATAGTATTAGAAGCTTAGCTCAACACAATACTTACTTGTAGTGAGAAAAAAAGGTGAGCTGTAATTTCAAGTCATAAGAGTGCCATTTGCACTGCGGCCGCGGGTACCGCTGGTACCCGCCAGGGGGTGCCAGGTGAGGTACCTGGTGTCCATTTCTGAGCAAAACAAAGGAGGTACCAGGGTACCGCTAGAGGTACCCAGGCACCGATGGCCATCTTTAAGCTCAGACATCAAACTGGGGAGACATAGCAGCTTGGGATTGCAACTGAAAAGAACAATGCCAATGCCCTTGGACCCGGCTGAGACAGGTTGTTCTGGTTGATATCTTAAGTGAGTATCTTCAAATATATATAATTGATCATGTGTCATCCTCACATCTGTTTATTCTTTTCTATGCATATCAAATTTCACTAGCTAGGAGGCGGAGGGAAGTGGACTTTTGTGGATGTCATCTGAACCAGGTCCAACTTATTCAAATGGGTTACATAGGTGGTTCCCCAAAGTTTCCGCAGACAGCATTCTCAATCCAACTCCTTTGGTTTCATCACATAATATGGAAACATAGTGCTGTGGCAATGACTCCCTTTGCAAAAGCCATCAAAAAGTTTCTGGATTCAAACAATCCCCTCATTCTGGTCAACTCTAACAGTGAAGATTCCAATAACTCATTCATTTTATGTTATTCTCCATGAAAATTTTGTACCAACTCTGACCCCATCCATCATATCCAGGTACAACAATGGAGGTGCCCTATGTCTTCTGCGGTTGATGCATATCAAGAAATATTAAGAACAGAAGGGGGGTTGATAAGCGCAAGCCAAACCCCCTCGTGCACACCAAAATGCACGCCAGCTGCAGATTGGCGTTGTGAGAACTCCTTTGGGATGGGTTGGCAGTCCTTGAGGGGGAAATAACAACAATGATATTTCACTAGATAATATTTACTGTTACGGGTGGTTTGAAAGACCTGCCCCTCTATTTACTACACAAGAATTCTGACAACAATTTATTTTATTGTTGTGGCGTAACTTTATGACAGAGAAAACTTTATATGTAGTAGTCTCTATCAGACCTAGATCAGTATGTAATTCAATACAAGATGGTTGTACAACCTTTACACGGTGAATGTGGGTGTGAAAACAATCCAAGTGGAATATTTTATAGGGTTTTATGGTTTTACGGTGATTCTGGATAAGTAGTGAAACTGTTGGTTGTTGTTGTTGATGTTGATGTTGGTGCTGGTGTTGGTGTTGGTGTTGGTGTTGACTAGACTTGGATGTTGATGACCACTGAGCTGGTTGTGGGGGATGAACCTGCTGGGTGATGATGGGGGGAATTGGTGAAGGAGAGGCCTCCTTATATATTCTTTTCTGAGTTATTTTTGCTGGTGGTGATGCAGTTGAGGTGATTTTGCTGGTGGTGACCTTGTGGGTTGCACTGCCTCCTGCAAAGAGTACATGCATTGAGCTAATTAAGCTGTGGAAATAACTAAATATGGTACTACTGTATGTAAGGATTGCATAACTGGTTGCACTGCCTGGTGGAGGTTTTTCTGTCCACATGCATTTATTCAAAGTCTGCGTAAATTCAATTAAGTAACTAAGTGGAGGCCTAATGGTTGCACATATGCATGCAAGAGTTGCATAACTGCTCTGCACTACTGGTGGAGGCCTACTGATGTAATAATCTATGTGTACGTACTTATATATATGTGGTAACCTACTATTAAATACTAATTAATGACTAGTTATGGTATGGCTTTAACCTTTATATTGGATTATCTTCTAAGCTAATAGAGATAGAGGTATAGTTGTAGTGAGTGACTATGGGTAAAATTGTATGTAGATTCTGATTATGCAATAATATATTCATATATGTAAGTGGTTTAGGTTATAAGGTAGGGGTTTTGGCAGTTTTGTTGCGCACAACAGCCTGGACCACCACAGCGTGCGCGCCTGCACACCATTTAAAACCTTGATTGGCCATCGTTCAAGGTTAAAACCTTGGACAATGGCCTTGAACATCCACGTAGAACCCAGGCCTGGGTCCTACACGCTTGCATACATACGTGTAGGACCCAGGCCTGGGCCCTACACGCTTACATACCATCCCGGGGCGGGGGTCGGGTCCAGCCCCGCGTGCGGGGTTTCTATCTTAGCTTGATGGCCCAGGGGGGAGGGGAGAATGGCAGGTGGGGAGGCAGCACGCGGGGCTGGAACTAAACCCCGCCCCCGGGGTAGTATGTAAGGGTTGTAGGGCCAGGCCCAATTGACGATCAAGTTTTCAACCTTGCTTGGTCTTCATTCAAGGGTTAAAACCTTGGGAGTGTGTGTGTGGCGGCCAACCAATTACGACCCCCTCCCTGGGGTCGTATGGGTTGGCCTGTGGCCTAAACACGTATACATATGCGTTTAGGATGCAGGCCAACCCATACAACCCATCCCTGGGTTGTATGGGTCGGCCTGGGGCCTAAACGCATATATGTTTATGTGTTTAGGATGCAGGCCGACCCATACGGCCCATCCCTGGGTTGTATGGGTTGGCCTGGGGCCTAAACGCATATATGTTTATGTGTTTAGGATGCAGGCCGACCCATACGGCCCATCCCTGGATTGTATGGGTCGGCCTGTGGCCTAAACGCATATGTATATGCGTTTAGGCCCCAAAAACTTTGGCGTGCCGGCCTGCAGGGTATACCCCCGGCAGGCAAGTGGTGTGCCTGCCTGCACACCATTCTGAAGCTGGTGTGCGGGCGCGCACGCCAATCTGCGCCTGACGTGCAGATTGGTGTGCGCGAGGGGGGTTGGCTTGTGCTTATCAACCCCCGTGATTATCACTCCCCAGTAAATATGAAAACTAGAGAGCCAGCTAACATAACATGAGTGCCCACTGGGGGATGAGGCTTACTGTGTAGAACTGGCACTTGGGGTGGGGTGGGGGAGGACCTTGCACATAATTCTTTTTTTGAAGCATGATTAGAAATTTCACTTTTGATGGAGCCTTTTTAGCTCCCTAACATCTCCACCCATGACTGATTTTTACAATCCAAAAAACTTGGAGGTAAAAGTGAAGGACTCAAAAATTGACTTGTTTTGCATTGAACTAGCTTTCACACCAAATTTCACTTGAGTGAAATAGGTTTCACTCTAGAAAGTAAAAAAATGGTGAGCTATTAGCCTTTACTAGTATAATATTCAACAAAATTTGGACAGGCAAAACGTATGACAAGCTATGCAAAAATGTATCACAAAATCTCATTCAGATAGAAAGATTTCAAACTGGATAAAATGGGCTGACTTTTCAATCAAGTTTTGTTGACTGGTGGTGGTATTCTGGCATACAGTTGAATATTTTCAAACACTTCTCAACATATCTTTTGAAAGCCCAGTTGTTAGTTATTTTTTGGAGGGTGAACCTTGATAATGATTTTCAATCTCTCGAAGTAATTTATTTGCCTTTTCATCAAGAATCCTATTAGACTCATTGTAATCTTGTTCAAGTTTTTGAAGTTTCTTTTTAAATTTTTTATCACTTTTTCTGTTTTCTTCATCAAGAAGGTTGGCTTTGGCCTCAAGTTCCTTAATTCTTTGGCCTTTCACCATTTTGTTTTTGAAATTAATTAAATATTAGCTCAAGAATTTAATCCAGAATATTTCATTCAATTTTTAGCACAAACTTGGGTTTTTACTTGTTTGATAAAGCTTACCTATATCACCAAGGGATTTTTCAAATTCTTCAATCTTTTCTGTGTCATTATAATTCAATATTTCCAATTGATTGATTTTCATTTTTTTAACAGAGGGGAAAGATATTTTGGAATTTTATTAAGAGCTAGAGGTCAGAATTGGCACATTTCTATTTCTTGATAGAAAGCAGAAAATTTCTATAGTGAAATCAAACTCCCTATCAATGGAGACATACCTTTGGAACTTCCTTCCATTCTCCTGTGGAGAAGGTGAATTTGAGTCCCTATGGCAACACCTTTATCAATTCCTCTGTTCATTAAAGTTTTTTGATGTAATGTTGGATTTTCTGAGGTTACATAGTAATTTGAGAAGTAGAAGGCAAGTAGGATAATTGGAAGTAACATGGCTAGGCAGGTCTGGAGCTGTTGATTTATTTTATCAAATTAAAATTAGCAGATGATTATCCAGGGGTAATGTGGAATTGTGGATAGTTGATAAATTCCAGATACATAATGAAAATTTATAATCCCAAGCTAATACCCCTTGTATGTGGCAAACCTCATGCACAGGCCAGGGGTGGCTGTTGCTTGATTTTAGTCAAAACCAGTATGGTAATTAAGCTAATTAAGCCTATACTATATTTAGCTTTATCCTTTTGATAAGAAAGTGTGATTGTCCTCTTTTCTCATAAAATAAACCTCAGATAGGCATTCATAGTCTGCAAAACTGTTAGAATTCAATTTCTGTAAAATATCTTCAGTCAGTGTCACTGTCATTTTCAATCACACATGTAATTTTTTTTGATTTCTTATACAGACTAAACTCAAGTTTTGAAAACAGACCCAATACTACATTTATTTTGATCTACTGTTACAGGATTTCAAATTTCAATGTCAAACTTACTCCTGAGGACTGATATTAAAATCAGGTTCCACAACACTCACTCAATTGCAGGTGTATTTTAGTGGAGTTGCTTTCATCTGGGAAATTGATGGATGTTTCCAATTTGAGATAGGATTAAAGATAAGAATTCATGAAGCATGTGCCATTAGGAATCATACATGTAACTCTCAATTTAACTTTGCACAAAAATTCTATGTAATAGTATCATAAAACAATAAGTGCTTCGAGTTTCAGCTAGATTCTAAGGTGGCTGCGCTACTTACTTTGAATTTAAACTCCTTGCTAGTGAGCTCTCCCCCATTTTCCGATTGAAAAATCTTGAGCTTCTGCCAGTTAAAGTATCAACCCAAAAGACTGGCTTTATTATAGTGGCTGTAGAGTCAGATTTGTGCATGAGGACCTTGATTTTGCAATAGCATGAACCAATTTCCGGTAATGTTAGAATGTAGTTGCCCCCCCCTCAAGCACCCACCAGGTCAACATTCCAAGCATCCATGGGAAGAAAAGATTGAATGTGGGATTAAACAGTATTCTTATTGGCACTCTTGCCAATCAGGCAAGATCTAAATTGGACTTCTCCCAACAGTAATGATTTTGTTAAACCCAGAGCCACACTCAAGTTCATCATTCTGCATATGAAGTGCAAGCTTGTGCGGCCAAAATGGTGATGCACATGAAAAATGAGTTACTGGTCATGTTTCAGGCTGGTTTTAAAGAAAGGTTGGTAGGTTGAAATGGGTACAGTTGCGGATGGCAAAAACCGACCATGCCCCGCCCGCAAAATCAAAGATTGACACGCGGGGTCTATGCCTGGGTGGGCATGTACCCCGATACTTATTTTTATTACAATTTTGGACTCCTACGGATGTGTAGAGTTCAAAATTGTAACCACTAAGCTTCTACTGCACTGGTTCTTTTTTTTATTTGTGTGGCATACATGTATCCGGACATGCATACCAAAAGCCATACTTAAACCCATAGTTATGGGTTTAAGTTGGCCTTATTCATGGTCTTATACCTCTTTGAGGTCCTTCAAGTGCCTGTAGCATCAACTTGGAGTGTTTATTTGACACTCTGAGCCAGTTTTATATTAATCTTTGGCCCCAAAAGGGCTGGAAAACCATGTAAATACAAAAAAAAAAATTAATTTTTCAGCTAAACTATTCGGACATCCTCCAAATCCAGGGTCGGTTTATGCCGTCCGCAACTGTACACAGATCTTGGAGGGGTGATCAAGAGACAAACACTAGAAAAATGTTGGATCACATGATCCATAGGTTCGATAACATCACATCCCGCTCGGAGATGTTGAAGAAATTTAAGGTTGGAGAAGGGAAAGTCGGCGATGCCAAAAGCAGACAGAAGTCTGAGAGGCTATTTCTTCTGAATCAATCGGGCTCAAGTGTGATTGGAATAAGCTAAGAAAAGGCTAATGTGTCCTCTTAGGACCAGTTAAAAATAGTAAGGACTGATGATGTTCATTTCTTGGTACTAGACTGTCTTGAATAATCTAGATAAAAACATGCACAAGTTGTGGGAGCAGAGTCTGATGCATAATGAATAAGAAATGACATAAAAACAGTCATGACACATGAGTGACATGTGATGTGAAAGATGAGAAGCAGACATCCAGGAGTGAAATTCCAACAGATTTTATCACACCTTTGGATCATGCAATCTAACACCATTCACCTTGAATGAAAAGTATTGGGTTAAATTTTCCCCAGGTGCAATAGCATTGCACCCCACCAGGCAATGTTATAGTGTCTGGGGAAAATGCAACCCAATAAATTTTCAAGTGAAACCATCAGGTTTGGATAACTCAGAGGGGGCAGAAGAAGGAGAAAAAATAATGACATTCTTATTTGCAAATGAATGAAAAGGAGGAGAAACAACAGTACTACAATGATTGATATGAGAAGGAGAAGGAGGAGAAGGAGAAGGAACATTACTACAGCAAGCAATATGTGGATGAGAAAGTGAAACAGGAGTAGAGGTAAAAACAGCATAGGCACTGGGAAGAGTCACTTGTGTGTGTGAATATCAAGAGAAGAGGAAGCCCAAACCACCAAAATAGCCAAAAAAAATGAAAACTGCCTGGGTGTTTGTCAAATGAAAAACTAGAAAACTTTCCAGTCAAAGCGCCACAGGAAGAGATTGGTGTGTGTGAAGCATGAGGGCAGAAGAGGAAGTCCCTAAGAGTGATATGAGTTGAGATAGTACTAGGAAAAGACAGATCCCCTTAATCTGGTGTAACATGACAATAATTACCATCAGTGGCTATACAGAGGGGAATGGGTTTATTCAGTGAAGGCTAACCTGTCACCCATTAAATGATGGGTGGCAGCAGTATCAAATAAGGTATCTGGACAAGTGTTGCTGTTGGATAAAGAAACATTGGAAAAGGATAGTTGGGCCTCTCCATTGCTGAATTTAAAATTGTTGGCACCAGGTTCTTGTGCGTTGATAAGTGCACTCCCTGCAATTCCCCACCTGCCCACAAACTGCCTATTCAGTTTTCCTTCAATTGAGTAGTATTTGTTTAAAAAAATGTTTTGTGGATTCAGGCTTAAAAATCCTTTTGATCCCAGCCAAATGTTTGACTTATTTCATATACCTATCGTATGGAGAGTGTCACATGGGGACAGCCCAGGAGAGGCTTTGTTAAACTAGCACTGTTGCACAATGGACATGGGGAACAGGGGTAAAATAGATTTGGAAGTGTCATCTTATTTTGGTAAGACCTTTGTACAAGCGATGCTTACAAAAATCCAAGACAACTGGCACTGATAATATTACAGCACATGCTTCCATTCTAGCACAAAACATACACCAGGAACACATATTTTAAACCATTTACCAACCATTAGATGAGCAGTAACAAGCATGCTAAACATGTATATGGAACCAGCAATGAATGACTTGGTGAACCATCATAAACTATACAACACTGAGCATTCATCAGAGGCTTAGAGCTACGACTTTCTATGTAATGCGGTCAGAGGGCACTATAAGAGACTTATGTGTAAGAAATCATTTTGGGATTGTCAATAGTTATATGTACACTGCGGCTATCTAGGCTAACCGAGTTGGGTTGATGAATGAAGTAACGACCAAACATGAAGGCAGACAACCAAGTGATAGAACTGTGTCTGTCCAGCAACGGCCAACCAATCAAATATCATCTTGGACACATTCAGTGTAACCTAAGTCGGTCGCACGAGTAGCCCAATCGACGGCTTGCTTGACCATCTGCTTTCCGCAAGGGCTATCAGCTGGCAGAGTGCTAAGAAAGCCAGGTTCGGCGTAGTACATCCCACAAGGCTTGAAATGTTGGAGAAAGCCTGCGGCTCGACTGATGTCCGCTCGGCCGTCCAGATGGGCCCCATGGAGCGTGCGTCGCTTCGACCTGGGATCGTACGTCCCTCGGTGGAGGATTTCGGGATCGTAGAAGACGGCCTCTCCAGGCGCGAGCGCGGCACAGATCTCGTTCGGCATCTTCCCCCCATCGTCCTTCGTGGCCTGAGTAGTTATTTGGCGCTCCATGGGCGTTCGCGTGCGTAAGTGAGAGCCAGGAACCACGAATAAGCACTCATCTTGGTACAAGGCCCTAGATGAGGAGAATGCAGAGAAAACAAGTCTTAATAGGACCCGGGCGCATCAAGGGAATGGGAAATAACGATGTCAACTCACAAGTTCCATTGTACGCCACCATACTTAGCTTTTGAGGATAGCTTCTGGCGTTCCTCCTCCTCATCAACAGTCGATTTGATGGTGTCCCTATGCCAGCTAAGCGCAAAGTGGTGGTCGAGGGGCTCGAGCAGCAGGTTATGGAGACCAGCGATGGTGTGCTCGTCTGGTGACATGTCACTCAAATGACCGGTAAGCTCAACCATTGGAGCAGAGAAGTAGAACGCCGCAAATGCCGGTTGTCCGAGTGCGGGATGCATGATGTGCTGAAGTTATGAAGGAGTGGAAAGAAGCTTTTCAGCACCCGGCCGCGACAAGGGCTAGCTACAAGTTATGTAATTCGATTGGGGAGCTTCGCACTTGAACACCCCATACGTCTGGGGATTCATCCTTCCAGGGGGGGAACTGTTTACCAACGGTGCGCCTAAAAAAGTGAGTCAAACGAATTACCACAAGTCAGTTTTCCAAGATGAATGGACATTAAGTTGGTGAATTTTTCAAGCCATCATCCGACGACAATACTCAACTTGTAAGGCCATTGCTGGTTCCGAGTGCGCTCCACAACTACATCAGCGGCATTCCTAAGTTCCTGCAATTGGTCATTATCTGTAATCAATCCTGGAAGGGCGACCAACGAGAGCGACTTTCAGCTTTTTTCAATTTCCCAAGATTCCAACAGACTTTACGTAGCATTATCAACCAGCGACATGACAGGCTGAAATGGCCCAAATCAACGTCTCGAGTTATGAATCTCATCAGCTCTGACCTTGGACGACTACCAAGCCGACTTCCTTGAAACACCTTACGATTGACTCCCACTCAGAATAATGGAACCTATGGATCATTGTTCGGATTCGCCGTCGGTCAAACTTTGGAGACGGTTCGAGCAGCCCTGACAGTACAGTATAAACACGTCGAGGAGGAACTTGAGCCTGTTTCCCGGGTCCCCGATGGGCTTCAAGTTAAAAGGATGCAGGAGGAAGACGGCGACTTGTCGGATGAGGTCAGATGCATACATGGCTCCTCATGACTCTCCAGCATCAGCTGAGCGGTTGTATCCTCCATTACACATCCTGGGGCATGTGAAATCGGCCAAGACCTTCTTGTTTATGTCAGAGAGATCGAACCCTCCGATCATGATCCGCGGGCATTCTTCCCTCCAGCTGCTCAACGAGCATTGAAACAACCCCCAGTGAGACCCAAGAGTTTGTAGGGTCAGGAGGAGTCAACGACACCTCAGCCGGCATCGGCCTCATGACCACCAGACTAGTTACATAGACTATGCATGCAGACCATCGTCTTGGAGGGTGCAATCCCCGAGTTATGTAGCAAATCATTGGGACGTATTGTCAAGGAGCGTGCCAATACTGTAACCAACGATAGGTATCATCAAGCGTTTTGAACTTAGTTCCCATTTGTTCTCTCCCTGTGACCTACCGCCAAGTGCGGTATTGCAAGAAGCTTCATTACCATGCGTGCATGAACGCAGCAAATACCATGGCGGAAACATGACCGCAATGAGCTCATCCTTAATGAGGAACAAAACTGTACAAGGTTGAACTCAACTTCAAGCTCAAATACCGCGTGGCATGACTCTTGTCTGAACCTCATTTGTAAGAACACTGATGTGGACATTTGTTCTGCCACCAGGGAAAAAAAAAACTTGATCCACATGTGCCATTGATTTGGACACAGATCATCATCATCATCATCATCATTAACCTTTCTACCTCTCCCCTCAATTTTGACCTTCAACAGTCCCTTTGTCATTGGTCGCTGCAATCCCTTGACATTTTAACCCATTTTTTTTGTCATGTCATCTGTACCTTTCAGACTATGCAGCCTAGGATTCTGCCTTATTTATATATGGTTACTTACCATAAACATTTTCTTATCTTTTGTTGAGGCCAGGCCAGCCATAGTTCCACCTTACATTGAATTCTGTCACCCAGAGCAAACATTTTCTGGTAATCAATTCGTAGACCAAATCCAGAGTCTACATGGTTACTTTCCGGGAAGCTCACCAAGCAGAGATCATCTGTGAGTGAATGGACGCGTTTCAAGTTCTGTAAGAAAAAAATAATGATGATTGCTAAATGGTTTCTTGAATCCATGCCTTTACTTATTAGATCTCACAACACTCTTTCATCAAATCCCAAGCGCGGTGGATTCAGCCAGATGATCGATATGGATGTTGATCAGCCTCATCAGTCAGGTCCCAAGGTGAGAAGCTTCTGGTGCTAGAAGATAGATTGTGGGCAATTTGGACACTTCGAAGCCTAATCAATTATCCGTCCGCAGCTTCGCAAGGAATATAAATCACCCTTGATTGATTTACCAAAGTTAGACCGTCTCGAGCACCAAGCTGCGTCAGACGAAGATCAAACACCTGTTAGGCCTGAAAAAAAACTTCGCATGTCAGTTGCGGATCCTGCCGAGCTTCCGGAGCGAGCTCCAAGCCTACAACGTCTCAAGACTTTATCTCAAGCCTGCGCTTCATCACAAGGAAAGCAAGAAACTCGGACGCATGTCTCCCGAGTCGCAGCTTCTTCCAGTATGATGGCAGCAGATGAAGGGAGTATAAAGGAGCCAGGGAGGTATTGGATGAAATTATATTCCAACAGACGCAGAATCAAATCGCTAGTTGCACAAGATGTTCCATCAGAAGAAGGGAAACCAACCCTTCCAGGAATCCATTGGCAGACATTGTATTCGAACAGACACAAGATCAAGACCCCGGGAAAGGCCACTAGGTCGTCATCGACAACCGCGACTCTGGCGTTGCAAATCCTCGCATTCTGGAGGAAGATGAGCAGGAGTTTCAAGCATTCAGTCTTACCCGAGACTCCAACCTTAAGAGGAACCTCGACCATCTCAGTGGATGACCGCAAGGCGAAAATGTTGTTGGAGTTATATGAGCCAGGAGTGGAAGCCACTACATCTATAACTCAAGCCAATGTTCGAGATGTGGGAACCTTGAGTACATCAGCCGAAAATCCTGGCGAAACTTCGTCCAAGTCATCCCAGGATCTCAATCTGGCACCTTATAATACTGGACCCTCAAACCGGGTACCTAGATTACCACATGAAATCAAGACAGCCCCAGTGGATGAGGTCAATCCAAGGAAAAGAAAACATTGGCGTTCAGCTGCCACCAAGGTTCGTGCAGTGAAAGCGCTCGGAGGCCTTGACAAGGCTATCCATAGGGCCGACCGCTTCTTCCAAAAACTTGATGGGTTTATAAATGTGGTTGATAAATCTTTGGAACATATTGATCATGTGCTCGAAAAAGCTGAGGAGTTGGAGCATTTTATGGGATTGAAAAAAACTGATTTTGGCCATTTATGATTAATGTCTCAATCACTTGATTTAAAACTATTTGTCTTGTTAATCACATATTTCTACAACAAACTGGGAATATTTCATAATTCTATTGACAGTCGACTCAACAATCAACACATCCAATTACAAGAATATAAATTTACTTTTTAATCCTGTCAGACTTTTTTTTCTCAATAATACCAGAAATATTTTCTACTCTTTTGATTTTGATTTTACCGTTGCAGTTGTACAGTGACTGACCAAAAGTTTTTCGCGCAGGCCACCAATAGCGGGGTTCACGATAGCGTTTTTTGCTTCTCGAACCCGTTACTTTTTTTTTCTTGCTCGCGCACAGCTGACATTAATTTTCTCAGCAAAAATTCAAAATTCTTCGCTAAATTCTATGCCTGCAGCGGTGCTGCAGTTTCTCGCGAGAACCAAGAGAGCTTCTTGCGAGAAGCTATCGTGAACCCCGCTAATAATCTGGTTGATTTGTGCCAAAAACTGTTGGCGGCCAGTCACTGTATGTAACTCATAATTCATCAATTGAGTCAACCCCACAATATTGAGCATGTTACAGTGGACAGTGGACAGTCACAGAACAGACAGTTATAGTCTGACTCAAGAAATGGATTGCTATGCAACAGTATAGAAGCGGTGCTTTCAAAAAAAAAAAAAACTTGAAAAACCTGACTTGTGTTGTTTGCGGTACTGCTTATGACCAAATGACGTATTGTACAGTAGGTTGCGGTCCGGCACGGGCAATGCTTCATGTCCGGCCGTGGTAAACAGGAGCCGCAGCGGCTGAAAGCTGCTCCGAGCCTCCGGCGTTGTTCCAGCGGCTGATTTCGCGCAGTGCGTACCGATGACCAGACATCCCGATATAGTGGTTGCTCAAAGACCCAAGCCTCTTGTCGGATGTGAAAATTTGATCTATGCATTTACTGCATTGGTCGCCGGCCCGTATACACAGTCAACCCTTGGCATGCAACTTCAACATTGTTTTTTTGATGAGGTGAGCGAAGAGTCGACTGCGAGCATAGCACTTATGACTTCTGGCGACGTGTGCATGGAACGGCAGCACACCTAACCTCTTGATGTCGGTCCAGAGGCATTGTTGATTTGTTACCAAGGCGCCCATGGCCAGCAAGGTTCAAAATACTTGCATCTATCCTGGAACATTGCTGCGAAACATCTGACGTGCACGCTGACAAGCACTGGCGATTTTTAACTTCAGGATGCTCCATGTTCTGTAATCATGACTAATTTTTGTGAAACATCGCAAGGGCAAAAACTATCTCAAAATGTGCCACTCTCACCATTCTCCAAATCTTTGGCCTTTAGCTACCTCCTGAATTCTAGCCACAACTGCCGAGCCGATTCCCCGTGGACTATGCCTTCGACTTTCAATTTGGTCAACCTGGTAAAGCGGCACGTTCTTTTCTGGTCTCTGACTTTGGCACTGGTGTCGTCCTCGGTCACCCCAAGGCGGCCAGTCCTAACCAGAATCCAATCCAAACCCCCAAAGCTCAAGGTAGCGCCTCATAGAATGCATGGATTCAAGGGACTGAGTCCACGTTTTCAAAATTCTGAAATTTCGACTGCCACCAATACCCAGTAAGTGTAATATGGAATAGTTGATTGATCAGCTGATATGAGAACACCGCGGATTCCTTGCGCGTTTGTCTCTTCTGCCTTGCTGATGAAATGTAAACACATTTTTCTCTTCATTTTGAAATCACCAAGCGTTCCTCGACCAGGTGAGGAAATCGTGAATTCGGATTGCTGTGGCGGGAATGCGCCAGACCACCGAGTGAGTGTATCGTTGCATCAACACTAGAACTGTCCCAATCTTTTCTGAAAACTTGTTTTCATCTGCGCTTTGTAAATTTCAACTTTCTACTCTGAAGAATGTTATTATTAGCGACAACCCTGTGCTGAAAGATGATATAGCACAACCAAAACACAGCCAAGTGCCTATAGAGAATGGCGGGAGCTCCATTCATCGTTCAACACAAGGCAGAACACCTGACAAAGAATTGTCGACACATAAGTCAACAATCCCAGTCGGTAGGGATGAAAAGACTAGCTCATCTCGGGACCCAGGAGATCCCTCCATTCGCTCTGATTATCCTCAGATCCCCGTTAAATCTTCTGACCAAGATTTACAGAAAAATGTATTGAAACATAAGCAAGACACGCCGTATTTACCAAAAGTCGAGAGTCCTATAGTTACTTTCCCACTTGTATCACGAACATCCTATAGAAGGTCCAAGGAGTTACCTGCAAGCCATTGGTTAAAAGTATGCCAGAATAGACACAGGCTTAAGCATTTAGCCCAATCTCCTTCTTCACAAGTGAAAGCCCCATCTTCAGTGGAGGAAGAAATAACTTCCTTTTGGTTGAAGCTGGCAAAGTTGAAAATATCACCCAAAGAACCCAAAGAACAGTTCTCAACAAAAGACTTGAAATCCTCCCTGGGAAGAGAGGAAAAGCTCAAATCAGTTCAGAATCCAGATGTTGCATCCTCCAGTGTCTCAAACCATTCTCCAAGCTCAGAGAGGTGGCCTGTCAAAGTTTCTGAGAGCGTTTTATCAGACCTCAAGCAGAAAGGACCAAATTCACCACAAGAAGTGAGCCTCATAGAGCTTCCAGGAAAAGATCACAGTGGTAATTGGTCTGAAAAATCACCCCAAGTACAGGGAAATCTCACATCTCCATCAAATATTGTTCCATCCAAAATTCTATCTCTGATTTCTAGAAGACAAAATGAAAGAATGTCATCATCTGAGAGTTCTCCTTCAAGAGAAGCCTTGGACGCCTCAGGTGTTGTCATTTCAAAAGAAAGACAAAATGCAAGGAGACAATGGCGCAAAGCTGCAACAAGCATCAGAGCAGTGAGTGCCTGGGGGTCTTTGAGGGATAGAGCTATTCATAAGGCAGATGGGTTTGTTCAAAAGGTAGACTACTGGATTGAAAAAATAAAAGACATTGTTGATAAGATTCATGAAGAATGGGAACAATTTGATAGCCTGTTAGAAGTGTTAGAAATGTATCTGAATTCAAGAGACCATCATCAGCTGGATCCATTTGGCCTGAGAGATTGGTGAATTGAAAATATACAGAAAAAAACAACTTGAGTGATATCTGATTATAATCAACACCAGTAGAGCTACTTTGCCCAGTATTGTATGATAATTTGTAAAGATTAAATTTCTTTGTGAATTTGATTAATCTTCATTTTAGCTGATGAATTTTTAATTGTAGATTTATGTAACAAGAAATTGCAAGCAAGTGTTCAATCAAGTGAAAGGAGAAGAATAATTGTATGAGTTATTTTGTAGCTATTGAAGCTTTCTTTCCAATTACATGTCTTTAGATTTCAGCAATCTAAATACATCAACATACTAATAATAAGTTGTAAAATACAAATTCAAAATTAACTCTGTGTTCTGCAAATAAAATTTACATCCCTTTCCTTGCAGCTCTTGTGAGCTTAAATTGTGAATTGATCAATAATAATAATTTTGTGTGAGGAGATGTTTGAATACTTGGATCATTTGTGTAGCCAGGTGATTCCCCTCAAAATCTTATCTTAAAACCAACACTGGGCCACCATTCTAACTTAACTACTCAGACACTAATGCCCAATGCAGCAGCCCTGGGGCCACAAAATTTCCAGTGTTAAGCAGCTCTAGCAAGCCAGGAATGCTTCAAATGAGCTAAGTAAAAATTATTTCACCCCTCACATCATGAGGGTGCAACTGATTTGATGAATCATTTTTGGAATTGTTTGCCATTGGCAAGGTGATCAATCTCAGAAACATTTATTGATTTCTGATTTGAATTGTTGTACTGAGCTGATATTATGGTAAAATCAAGCAACTAGGAAGCATTTCAAGTACAAGGAATCTTTCACATAGTTCGGGACAGGACTCTTGAAGTTGGAACCTGTTCAGATCTTGGGTCTTGTCCCGAGATCGATCCGCTCCTGAGATCCGCCGGACCCCTTCGATGAAGCCTGCCTCGGAGCGTAACCCCACAGTAATAGTGGCAGGTGTCACAATCAATCCAAGCGCTCTTCGTAGATGTCACAGGAAATCACTGAGCTGAGACGCGCCATGCCCCTGCCTTTGTCATCCCACTGCCCCAACACGCGTCTCCCCCGCCAAACTTCCTCTAGTCTCACCCAGTCAGTCTCTCAGCTCTCGAGTGGTACATGTTGTTGCTGTGAACAGGAACACTACTAACCACTGCAGTTTTGATTGGCTCACTCCTACATACATACCAGAACGAGCTCACTCACAATGTCCTATCTCTGGTCAGATCTATCACACGATAACCCACCCTCGTCTCCCGTCCCAGGTCCATCGACAAGCAACAACCGACGGCGTCTCAAAGAGCAAGTTGATATCCATGAGGACAAACCAGAAGGAGAAGATATTGATGATGATAATGACCAAGAAAATGAAAATAATCCATTGGGTGCCTATCCCACCCCGCCAGTCTCCGAGCAAGAACCGTTCGTCCTGCCTCGTAAAACCTCTCGGCCGAGGAACCGACTCAGGACAGGCTCTAGCAGCGTCCGTACCTTCCCTAGGACGTATCGGCAAGCCACGCTTTCCGAATGCTTGAACCGATGTGCCAGCTCCCCTCTAGGCGGGCGAAGCACGGAACTGGAGTCATTTGACGATTTCAACCACTCAAACGACCTACCAGAACATCAATCAAACCAAAGACCAACTCTGGCACCCCTACTGTTCGACAAAGATCGAAGGCTCGCCAAAAGAGTGAAGGTTGTTGATACCTCTCTGGATGAGACCCCGAGTGGATTGCTCCCTCCTTTCGAACTCGATCAACGCCCCACATCCGATTTCGGATATCCTGAACCCTCCCCATCTCTCGACCGTCCGTTCAGGACCAATCGCTCAAGAATCATTCAACCTGCACGTGACCTATTGGATTTTGAACTTGCTTACAAACGATCGGATGTAGAACCACGGAGGATGAAACGTATGGAAAGCCTGAGAAGCGACCCTGAGACTCAAACGATTAAGATGTGGAACCCAGAATACGAAAATGGTCACGAGTTTCCTTTCAGTCTCTGTTTCAATCATGGTTTGCATTTTCTTTTCTATTTTCGACTCCTTTGATATCGTGCGCTCATGTCCAACTGACGTATGGCTTTGGATTCCTTTCTTTGGTTGGTAGCCGCAAAAGCTGGCGACAGTGGAAGACCACCCGCCCCCGGAGAGCTCATGGCTGCTGCCAGTGCTTTAGGGACTATTTCCTTATTCAATCCGTCTTTGAGGGGATCAATTGAAGGTATGAAAACTGTTTACCATTGACCGTTCAATTGGTACAACACAATTGACACCTGGGCTTTTGTTTTTTGTAGATCTGATGCCAATTGCGACTTTCCAAGCTCTTCAGAATGGGATTTTTGCCCTGTCATTTTCTCCCTCAGACCTGATGCTTGCGACGGGATCGGGGGCCCAAGTCTCCGAAATCTTTGACGTTGAGACGGGCACTGTACTGAGCCGATTGCAGGATCATATGGGCACGGTCAAAACCGTCGAATTTTCTTCGTTCAATGAGAATATTGTCGTCACAGGTAGTCGTGACGGAAGCATCAAGATCTGGGATCTCAGGATCACTGGCGCTCAAAATACTGACGATGGTCAGTTCCTTCAGTCCCATCCTTCTGTGCTGTTGTGAACTCCAAGCTTATGATGTTTGTACCCTTAGGCTCTCATTTTCATCCTGCGGTAATCACCATCAGAAATGCGCATGACGAAAAATATGCCGGTCGGAAACGCCGAAAGGGAGTCCACATCCCCTCCGTCTCCTCAGTCCTTTGGTCCAGAATTGCCGATCATCAGTTATTCTCAGCCGGGAGTGCCAATGGGTTTGTCCAACATCCAGGCTTTCATTTTCTAACCCATCGATTGTAGCAGTAAAAGCTGAACCTAGCACATTCTTCAATCCGGATTATCAGGGTGGTCAAGCTTTGGGATGTCCGGAAAAAGACACCATTTGCCTCGAAGGCTCACCCTCTACCCCTCGATCAGTCGGTCGAACAGAGCAACCATGCCTTCCCAGAGGAGGATTATGAGCACGCTATGGGATTCGATAACCCGCAGCGACCGCATGGGATTAGTTCTCTAGTCGCCTCGTCCGACGGAGCTCGGTTATACTCCTTAGGAACAGACAGCACGTAAGATTGATTTCCTGCCCGTTCTATCATCTTGATTATCTTAATTATGACGTATATGGATTACTGATTTACGATGGTGT